AAGTAGGAGTGAGTCCCGAGCACAGAAGCAGGAGTGAGCCCTGAGCACCGCAGAGGTGCCGCCACCAACAATAAAAAGTGGTCTGAGTTGGTGGCTTGGAGGTCCTGAGGATTTTCCACAAGCAACTGTTGTATCTCGGCTCATGCAGCGTGGGGCCCTGGTGGAGGGGGGATGGGGGGTCTTAGGGGAGCAAAGGCACAAAGCCCGGCTCCCAGTCAGCCCTGTCCAGGGGTTGGCGAGCTGTTCCAGGGGTCATCAGAGTCCCATAAAGCCCCCGCCTCCCTCCCCCAGGCCCGTGTGGCCTCAGGAGGGCCCTGGGTCCTCGTCCCCAGCTCGGGAATGAGCCCGGGAGGGAGGAGCAAAGCAAACAAGTGCCGGGCTCAGGCCACAGCCGGGCGGGGGCGAGGCCAGCCTGGGCTTGGGTCAGCTCTGGGAAGTGACAGGAGCCTGGGCTGCCTTTGCCAGGGTTCAGCCCAGACGCAGATCGGAGTGCTTCCCGCCAGGGCCCCTAGGGGGCGCTCTGCAAGCGCTGGGCTCGCTCCCGACCCCCTCCTGCAGGGCTCCGCGCTGCTCAGGTCTCTCCCTGGGCCTCAGTTTCCACTTCACGCAAGGACTGGAAGTCCCTCCTACCAGGTGGGGTCCCTGAGAGCACAGGGCAGAGAGGGATGCCGCCCCTACTCGCTCCACAGCCCAGACCCCACAAACAACCCCCCCCCTCCCCCCCCCCCCCCCCCCCCCCCCCCCCCCCGGCCTGGCTCTTGGCAACGTGCCCCAGGCACCCTCTTTGCGGGGTGGAGTTACTCGGGGGCGAGTAACAGGGAGACGTGGAGCCGGTGGCAGTGTCCACACCCAAGACCACAAAGACGCCGTTTTCAGAAGCCCCCGGGGGCCCTTGTTAGAGCAATGCGGGGTCTCCTGGCACCTGGCCCAGGGCTCGCTTGCAGGAGTGGCCACAGGCCAGTACTGCCCACCTGGATTCCTCCACTGCAGCGGCAGGCCGGGGACCCAGAGTCAGGACGGGGGTGGGGCGGGGGGAGGGTTGGCCAGCCAGGCGCCTTCCCTCTGGGTAACAGAGGGTCCCCGGAATCGGAGGCAGCTCAGAGAGCTCAGGGATCAGATGTCCAAAGAACCTGGGGCAGCTGCCCAAGGCGTCCAGCATGACCAGAGGGCAGAGGGCACAGGGAGCAGAGACTCCTCAGCCGTGTTGAGTGGGGGGACTCGATACACTGGCACGTGGTCAAAGGGCCGTTAGGCAATGCCACCATCTCTGTGTCGCATCTTCACCACAGCCCTCCTCACCCCCACTATCACCTCCATCCTCACCTCCACTGTCACCTCCATCCTCACCTCCACTACCACCTGCATCCTCACCTCCACTGTCACCTCCATCCTCACCCCCACTATCACCTCCATCCTCCACTCCACTATCACCTCCATCCTCACCTCCACTGTCACCTCCATCCTCACCTCCACTACCACCTGCATCCTCACCTCCGCTACCACCTGCATCCTCCCCTCTGCTATCACCTCCATCCTCACCCCCACTATCACCTCCATCCTCACCTTCGCTACCACCTGCATCCTCACCTCCCTATCACGCACATCCTCACCTCTACTATCACCCGCATCCTCACCTGCCTATCACCTCCATCCTCATCTCCGCTACCACCTGCATTCTCCCCTCTGCTATCACCTCCATCCTTATCTCTGCTACCACCTGCATCCTCACCTGCACTATCACCTCCATCCTCACCTCCATCCTCGCTTCCACTATCACCTGCATCCTCACCGCCACTATCATCTCCATCCTCACCTCCACTGTCACCTCCATCCTCACCTCAATGGTCACCCTCATCCTCACCTCCACTAGCAAGCTGGAACCAGAGATGGTGGCATTGCCTGACAGCCCTCCACTATCACTTGCGTCCTCACCTCCACTATCATCTCCATCACTATCACCATCCCCATCACCAGTTGTCCTCTCTGTCCTTGTCACCATCCTCATCCTCATCCTCATCCCCAACACCACCACCATCCTCATCCCCGCCATAAGCAGTAGCGTCATCAGCACCAGGGCGACTACACTCAAGTGCTCAATGCCTGGACCGTGCTCAACATTTCCTCACATCAATGTGTTAACATCTATGAAGATGTCACCATTGCCAGCTCAGCGAGGGCCAGTGGGGTCCCCCCAACCTCCCAGCAAATGAGAGCCAGGAGGGCCCGCAGGACCCCAACCCTCAGCCGTGCCCTCCATCCTGGCTTTAGGTTTTAATTAGGCTGATACTGCTTGATGAGCGAGCAATGTGATGTCTACTTCCACTGTGCCTTCTGTTCCTTACGTGTGCGGTTCCCTGTGATCATCTTTGCATCTTTAGAGACACCACTGGCCTCAGGATGAAGGAGAATTGGAGACAGAGGAGGAAGGGCTCTGAGACAGGGCGGTCGTGAGGAGAATCAAACAACCGGGAACTGTGTCAGGGTGGACCCCAGGGAGAAGAGATGCACTTCTCAGGAGTCTGGCATCGGGGCGGTCGTGAGGAGAATCAAACAACTGGGAACTGTGTCAGGGTGGACCCCGGGGAGAAGAGATGCACTTCTCAGGAGCCTGGCTTCGGGTGTGGGTGGGTGCAGGTGTGGAGGGAGATTTGCAGAGTCACGGCCGCCGGCTCTGCTTAATGAACGGGTCAATGAGTGCGGCGGGTAGAACTCCCGCCTCTGGGAGCGAGCAAGCCAGAACCAGGCGACTGTCGAAGCTGGAGAGGAAACGGCTGATTTGAGAGCCACAGCCTGGGATGGGACTGACAAGGCAGGACTGTCCCGACCGCTAACCTGTGCTTCCAGTTTGACTCAGGCATCCTGTAGAGAACACGTCCGGCCAGTGGGGACCCCTATGGGCACGAGGAGCGAAAATGACTCACCAGCCCCCAGACTCACAGCACGGAGGAAACCTGGTGGACCCCTCCCGCCCTCACTTCCAAATGTCCACGAGCCACCCTCCACCAAGCTCTGGGCTTTGGCGTTTGTGAGCAGTGAAGGAGTCACACAAAAGTCCTCAGACCTTTATTACTCTGACCGACAGGATGCTTGAACCGTCATGAGCACGAGTCGCCTGTCTCTGCCCAGCAAAGCTTCTTCCTGTGTGTCTGGGACAGTTGCTCCCGGTCACGGCTCAGCACTGTCCACGGTTGACCCCAACGCACCCTGAGCTGACCGGGAGCCAGGCTGGGGCGCTCCCTTCTCTGCTCCTAGGAGACCCTCTGCCCGCTGCACCCCTCACCCCTGCCCCCTTACCAATCGCAACCTCCTCCCCCGTCCCCAGGGGGCGCTCTAAGACCCACACTTGGTCCTTATTTCACCTGCTTCCTGGCTGTGTGTTCTGACGGGGTCGAGGGGGTGGGATGGGAGCGGGGAGGGGACGCTTTCAGCCCCTTGAATTTTAAAGTCCAGGCTGAAGGGGTGAAGCTCTGGGGGCGCCCCTCCCGCCCGCCTCCGTTCTGCTCAGTGTCTGACGTTTTCAGAGGCGTTGGCGAGGTTTGGGTGCTGCCTCCAAGAGTTTTTGAGGTTCTCGTACCTGCCCTGCTGGCCACGGTTCTTGGTCAGCCGCCAGCACCTGGGCAGTGCTGTCCCTCCCTCCCGGGGCAGGAGGCACTGTGTTGGCCACCAGGACAATTGTTGTACTGTGTCCAAAGAGGAGGAACAAAGTGTCCCCAGAGGAGTTGGGGCTCCTCGTCACCCTGAGTATCAGAGCTGGGACCCGTCTTGGGGTCAGTGCCTCACGCTCTTGGGTCGCCCTGATTGGACCCGCTCAAATGGACCATCGGCGGTGCCCTGGGCCACTGAGGGCCAACGACACAGCCAGGAGGCTGAGGCTGGGGGCAGGTTGTTGGGAGTCCGGGGAGGCGACACCCCGGGCGAGGCCAGTCAGCGTCTCTGCTTCATCACAGCTCCAACATGGAAGGGGTGGCCAGCACCCAGGCCTGCATGTGCAGGCGCGTGCATCGGTATATGCAGTGCGTGCACGCACGTGTCTGAGTCAGTACACGCACATGTGTATGCACGCAGATGAGTGAGGTCAGCATATGCACGCTTCTGTGTTTGTCTGTGTGTGTGTGTGCGCGCGCATGTGGGGGCACCGTGCACCTGCATATGGGTGCAGAAGTCTGAGCGTGTATGTAAATGCCTGCATGCTCACGTGTACACATGTGTGCGTGCCTGTGGGAACCGTGTGACGGGAAGAAGGAAGGAGGAGAGGAACGTGTCCCAGCATGTGCACTTCCCTTCACGTGATCTTGCTCCCGGGCTGCGTGTGCACGGAGCCGAGCTCTCCCTGAGAAATGCCGCTGCACAGGGGGTCTGCTTCCTTGCCCATCCTGACCCAACTCCAGTGGCGGAGGGGAAACTGAGGCAGGGGCAGGACCCCCCTCCCTTCCCCTCACATTGCGATCTACCCAGGCTGTCAGGGGCTCCACCAAACGGGGAGCTGCAAGTTCCTTAGACTCCGCTGCCTACAGACCCGGGCTGCACCCCGGCAGGGGTTCCTTTGGCACAGGTGGCCGAGTTTCTGGGCTCATCCCGGGGAAGCTCAGAGTCCGACGGCCCCTCACCTGGGGCAGCGCCGTCGGAACTCCCGGCTGAAGGTTTCAGAAGCCCAAGGCAGACACTCCCCGAGGCCCCCCTGTCTTCTCACACCTGGGGTCCCATGCGCGGGGGTTGCACTGAGCTGTCCCAGGGAGCAGAGTGGGACCCCCGCCCACCCAGCCCTGCGCCACAAGGCTCGGTCACTCCCGTCCCTGCTCCCGGGAGCTGCCCACTCCCAGCAAGGACCACGGGGTGGCGGCGGTGAATGAGGATGAGGAGTTCCTGCGTGTGCGGCCGTGCACTGGGGGGGACTCGCACCCCTGCAGCCGTGCCCGCTCGGGGCCAGCACTCCAGGCGCGCAGCGCGCGGCGCAGAGCCCCAGCCGTCGGCCCGCGTGCAGCAGCGTCCGCGGCGTCCGCTCAGTGGCCGCGCCTCCCCCACTCGGACAGCTTGTGCACCTGGCGGTCCACGGAGATGGAGGTCCGCACGGTGCCCAGGGAGCTCTCGAGGGGCCCGGGCCGGGCGCGCCGGCAGCGGCCGCACACCACCTCGGCCAGCTTCTTGCGGAAGCGCTTGCCCACCAGCACGTAGAGGAGCGGGTTGAGGCAGCTGTTGCTGTAGGCCACGAAGGAGGAGACCTGCGTGAGCACGTCCACCAGCAGCTCGGCGCGGCAGCCCGAGAGCACGTCCAGGCGCAGCAGCGTGTCCAGGAAGGTGCTGAGCTGGAAGGGCAGCCAGCAGAGCACGAAGAGCAGCAGCACGGCCAGCACCAGCCAGGTGGCCTTGCGCTCGGCGCGCGCCGCCTGGAAGCGCTGCAGGTCGTTGCTGCGCAGCGCCGCCAGGATGCGCCGCGTGCAGAAGGCGATGACGGCCAGCGGCAGCAGGAAGCCCACGGTGTTGAGCAGCACGTTGGTGGCCACGGGCCAGGCGCGGGCCGGCTGGGGCCCCGGGTAGGCGATCAGGCAGACCGTGACGTTGTGGCCCTCGGCCGCGTACTCCCGCAGCGTGCGGAAGGCCAGCATGGGCGCGCTGAGCAGCAGGGCGCAGCCCCACACGGCCAGGCTGTGCAGCTTGGCCCAGCGCACGCGCCGCAGGCGGCCCAGCGACAGCGTCTTGGCCAGCGCCAGGTACCGGTCGACGCTGACCAGCACCAGGAAGTAGACGCTGCCGTAGAGGTTCATGGAGACCAGCGCGCTCACCAGGCGGCACAGCGCCTCGCCGAAGAGCCAGTCGAAGTGGTGCGCGATGGTGACGGCCCAGAAGGGCAGCCCGCAGGCCAGCAGCAGGTCGGCCGCCGCCAGGCTGCCCAGGTACACCTCGGCCACCGTGCAGCCGCCCGGGTGCAGCCCGAACACGCCCAGCACCACCGCGTTCTCCAGCGCCGCCGCGGCGAACAGCACCCACAGGAAGGGCGCCTGCGCCGCGTTGAAGCCGCTCAGCCACGCGGGGGCCGGGCACTCGCCGGCGGGGCCCCGCGTCCCGTTGAGCGCCGGCGCCGGGACCTGCGCGCCGAGGCCGAGCGCGTCGCTGCGGGGGCGGGGGGCGGGGGGAGAGAGAGAGGAAGGAGGAGGCCGTCACCGGCGGCTGCGCGTGCGGGAGTCACCCCCGGGGTGGAGCACTGCTGGGGGGAGCCCCGGGGTGGAGCACTGCTGGGAGGGAGCCCTGGGTGGAGCACTGCTGGGGAGCACGCGGTGGAGCACTGCTGGGGGGGAGCCCCGGGGTGGAGCACTGCTGGGGGAGCCTGTATTGAACACTGCTGGGAGGGAGCCCCGGGGTGGAGCACTGCTGGGGAGCACGCGGTGGAGCACTGCTGGGGGGGAGCCCCGGGGTGGAGCACTGCTGGGGGAGCCTGTATTGAGCACTGCTGGGAGGGAGCCCCGGGGTGGAGCACTGCTGGGGGAGCCTGTATTGAGCAATGCTGGGAGGGAGCCCCGGGGTGGAGCACCGCTGGGGGAGCCTGTATTGAGCACTGCTGGGAGGGAGCCCTGGGGTGGAGCACTGCTGGGGAGCACGCGGTGGAGCACTGCTGGGGGGAGCCCCGGGGTGGAGCACTGCTGGGGGAGCCTGTATTGAGCACTGCTGGGAGGGAGCCCCGGGGTGGAGCACTGCTGGGAGGGAGCCCTGGGTGGAGCACTGCTGGGAGGGAGCCCCGGGGTGGAGCACTGCTGGGGGAGCCTGTATTGAGCACTGCTGGGGAAGCCCTGGGTGGAGCACTGCTGGGGGAGCCTGTATTGAGCACTGCTGGGGAAGCCCTGGGTGGAGCACTGCTGGGGAAGCCTGTATTGAGCACTGCTGGGAGGGAGCCCCGGGGTGGAGCACTGCTGGGGGAGCCTGTATTGAGCACTGCTGGGAGGGAGCCCCGGGGTGGAGCACTGCTGGGGGAGCCTGTATTGAGCACTGCTGGGAGGGAGCCCCGGGGTGGAGCACCGCTGGGGGAGCCTGTATTGAGCACTGCTGGGGAAGCCCTGGGTGGAGCACTGCTGGGGGAGCCTGTATTGAGCACTGCTGGGAGGGAGCCCCGGGGTGGAGCACTGCTGGGGGAGCCTGTATTGAGCAATGCTGGGAGGGAGCCCCGGGGTGGAGCACTGCTGGGGGAGCCTGTATTGAGCACTGCTGGGAGGGAGCCCCGGGGTGGAGCACTGCTGGGGGAGCCTGTATTGAGCACTGCTGGGGAAGCCCTGGGTGGAGCACTGCTGGGGGAGCCTGTATTGAGCACTGCTGGGAGGGAGCCCCGGGGTGGAGCACTGCTGGGGGAGCCTGTATTGAGCAATGCTGGGAGGGAGCCCCGGGGTGGAGCACTGCTGGGGGAGCCTGTATTGAGCACTGCTGGGAGGGAGCCCCGGGGTGGAGCACTGCTGGGGGAGCCTGTATTGAGCACTGCTGGGGAAGCCCTGGGTGGAGCACTGCTGGGGGAGCCCGGGGTGGAGCACTGCTGGGGGAGCCCGGGGTGGAGCACTGCTGGGGGAGCCCAGATTGAGAACTGCTGGGGGAGTCCCCGAGCACTGCTGTCCAAACAGCACCCAAGAGGAGGTGCCTTCCAGGAGGAAGTGGACCGAGGTACCAGAGCCGGCCAGGGGAGGCGGCCTGCGGGCTCACGAGTGGCCTCCCGAGGGTGCGTTCGGGTGAGGTCATGAGCGGCCGGGGCGTCCCCATGGTGCCCGCTGCTGCGTGGGGTGTGCCCTTGGCCACACCTGGCCCGGCACCGGCTCTCACGGACTCTGGACTCTGGACCTCCTGGGCGGTGCCTGACACACTCGCCCTGTCCCAGGCCGCGCCCAGGCCGCTGGTCGTCCCCAGGTCAGGGCCGCCAGGGCCAGCGAGTTAGCAAGAGGCAAATGAACCGCGGCCAGGGAGACCCGCTCCTGCCTCATAGTGGCCGGCGGAGGCCCGTGGGCAGGCCAGCCCCGGGCGTCAGGTGTCCCTCCTGCGTTTGGCTGCTGGCACGTTCACTGGCTGTGTGCTGCCGGGTAAGTTAATGAACCTCTCTGAGCCTCGTGATCTCGCTGCCGAGCGGGAAGGGCACAGTCTCCTTCTCCGAGGACGCGGGGATCCTCAGAGCATCTGAGAAGCCGCAGCAGGTACAGCCTTAAGCCATTGTTGCTGCCCAGGCTATTTCATCTGACCTCAGCCAAGGGACCTGGGCTCCACCCCTCGCTGTGTGACCTCGGGCAAATTGCTCCACCTCTCTGAGTTTGTTCTCTTTGGAGTGGAGTGCTGCTGTCTTCCAGACCTTCCCTGCCAGGGCACTGCAAGGCTCAAATGGGGGAGAGGTCTGAGACAGGCAGACTGCATGTCCCAGAGGGCAGGGCGGTCTGGGGCGGGGGCAGGGAGGCAGGTGTGGCCACCAGGACCCAGGACCCCCCAGTCTGTTGTGTGTGAGCAAGTGTCGTCCCACTTGTCTGTCCCTTTGCACCCCCTTCAGACTCCGTTTTTCTTTTCTTTCTTTTTAAATTCTTTTGGGACCACACCCAGCAGTGCTCAGGGCTTCCTCCTGGACCCTTGGGGGTGGCGAGGACCGACCCTGGGTCAGCTACGTGCAAGGCGGACGCCCTCACTGGGCCAGCTGCCACCGTGGGGGGCTCGGGGCTCGGACAGTGAGTCCTTCTGCCCTTGCTGGCCTCGGCCGTGAGTAGGCCCCGGGAGGGGGGGGGTCCGAGGCCACAGCGCCCCCTCTGTGCCCTGAGTCCTGAGCCTGGGAACCGCAGGCTTCTCCGCAGGGCCCACAGCAGGTGAGGGCTTCCCCGTGGGGACCCCAACGGGACCCCCGCGGGACCCCCACCTCCAGCGCCCCCCCTCAGCCAGAGCTCCAGGTGCCGAGTGACAGTGCCAGGAGCTGACGGTTTGGGCGGACACGTGGCCCGTGGGTGGCCTCAGTCCCTGTTGGCTCAGGCCGAGGGGTCCCAGAAGAGACCGGGGTGTGCTAAGGCCCCGGGGTGGGCTCTGCCCAAGAGAGAGAGCGGCGCTGCCCCAGGACAGACCCACCTGTGGCGGCCGTGTGGCCCCCTCACTCTCCAGGCACCTGGCTGTCCCGCAGACGCCCACCCGCGGCTGCCCACAGCCCACCCCACTGTTCCGAGAAGCCCCCCGAGCGCCCCCCACCAAGTGCCCTCGCCTCCCACCTCCCGTCCCAGGAGGGCCCCCTTCCTCTGCTCAGCCCCGAGAGGCCCCTCCCCTGGGCTCAGGCTCGGACCCGGCACTGGGAGAGGCTGGAGGGGGCAGGCGGGACTCACCCCGGGGCGGCCGTGGTGGGCAGCGGGTCCTCAGAGCCCAGCAGGAGCACCGGCAGCTTCCAGGTGGGCAACATGGGTGCTCGGGGTCTTCGGGCTGTGGGGGCAGGAGAGGCGGTTGGGGGGCCGGGCCCAGAGACCCTCCCTGAGTGTCCCGGCCTGGCAGGCTCTGCATGGGCTAGGGAGGGCGGGACCGGCCGCAGGACGCAGGGGGCTGGAGAGGAGGCCAAGGGGCCGACCCCAGCGGGCGAGGGCGGCAGGAAGGAGAATGTCCACGCAGGGCAGGGAGCAGCGTGTGACGCAAACGTGCTCACGTGTCACAGGCATGCGGAAACTGCACACATGTGAGCAGTGCGTGCTCATGGTGTAGCATGTCTGTGTGTGTCCTTGTACGTATGTGTCCCTGTGTGTGTCCTTGTGTGTGCGTGTCCCTGTTTGTGTCCCTGGGTGTATCCCTGTGTGTTCGTGTGTGTGTCCCTGTGTGTGTCCCTGTGTGTGTGTGTCCCTGTGTGTATCCTTGTGTGTGTGTCCCTGTGTGTATCCCTGTGTGTCTGTGTGTGTCCCTATGTGTGTATTCCTGTGTGTGTGTCCCTGTGTGTGTCCTTGTGTGTCCCTGTGTGTGTCCCTGTGTGTATCCCTGTGTGTATCCCTGTGTGTCTTCCTGTGTGTGTCCCTGTGTGTGTATCCCTGTGTGTGTCCTTGTGTTTATCCCTGTGTGTATCCCTGTGTGTGTATCCCTGTGTGTCCGTGTGTGTCCTTGTGTGTGTGCGTCCCTGTGTGTGTGTCCCTGTGTGTGTGTCCCTGTGTGTGTCCCTGTGTGTATCCCTGTATGTCCGTGTGTGTGTCCCTGTGTGTATTCCTGTGTGTGTCCTTGTGTGTATCCCTGTGTGTATCCCTGTGTGTCCGTGTGTGTCCTTGTGTGTGTGCGTCCCTGTGTGTGTCCCTGTGTGTGTATATCCCTGTGTGCATCGCTGTGTGTGTATACGTGTTCCTGTGTATGCGTATATGTCTGTGTGTGTATGTGTGTTTCTCTGTGTGTGTGTATGCACACACCCAGGCGTCACTGTAGACTCCCCAATGCCGGCCTGAGGCTGCTCTCTCCTTGGACTCTGGAAACCCATGTCTAAGTCCACGCTGGGAGGTGGCCGCACAGGCCAGCACCCGGGGCCACTTCCCAGGGGCCATGCTGTGGCCACCGGCTCCAGGTAAAGGACCCACCCTGGAGAGAGCTGAGACAGGGGATGAGCCCTGGAGCCCTGGGGCCCTCCCAGGAGGGAGCAGGGGCTGAAAAGGGACCGGAAGAGGGTCCCTCGGACCGGGCCTCCCTGGGTCCTGGTCGGCGGGGCAGGGCCGGTGGGGGACGCTCCCTTCCCCGCAGCAGGGCTCCTTGGGGTCCGGGCGGCTGTCCCTGAGGCCAGTGGCTGCTCTCAGCAGCCTGAGATGAATTGGGAGAGGGGGCTCTTCGTTTACCTCAGGAAGGTGGATTTCCGGGGGGGTCAATAAGTGCCCAGGTTCTCTTAAAACGGGGCTGTGGCCACCTGCTGGGGGCCCACCCACACAGCACAGCCCTGGGCACTGGGATTCACACTCCCCCATCCAGCCTGGGAAACGCTCCTGAAAGACCCTTATCCCCTCTCTTTACAGCAGAAGCAGATCTGGACTGTTTGCAGTGAGTTCCGTCACCTCTGAGGGCGTCTATTTTCTTTTTCTTTTTGGGTCACACCCGGCGATGCACAGGGGTGACTCCTGGCTCTGCACTCAGGAATTACCCCTGGCGGTGCTCGGAGGAACTATATGGGATGCTGGGAATCGAACCCGGGTCGGCCGCGTGCAGGGCAAACGCCCTCCCCTCTGTACTACAGCTCCGGCCCCGGGAATCTGTTTTGGTCTCTCAGGAACCCCCATTTATGAGCTGGAGGTGGGGAGGGGTGTGACCAGTTTCCAGTCCTTGGCTGCAGCTGGGGATGGTACTTGTTCCCCAAAGTGGGGCCTGAAGAGCCCCGAGCCTCCCAGCCCCTCCAGGAGGAGTCTTGGGGTATGGGTGTGACTCCCGCCGTTGTCCACCATTGCTGCCCTTCACCGTGTCAGCTCCCCACCTCCTGGCTGTTCCCGGTGTGAGACCCGGCCCCTCTGCTCCCATCTGATACAGGTGTGTTCACGTGTGGCCATCCACGGGCCACCAGGACCCTGGATTCCCGCAAGAGGGAAGCGGCCCCCGTGGTGCCCCAGAGCCCAGCTGGCCCTCACAAAGCAGCCCCACAGAGCTCACCACCTGGGGCCACTCTCTGGGCACTTCCCCCGAGGGCTCTGCCTGTCCTTCCTCCCCCCCTCCCAACGCTGTAAGATCTGGGACCTCCTTTCTCCTTTGATTTCAGGGCTCCCGCCATGCAGAGGTAGTTTGGGCAGGCGAGGGGGGCTCTTCTCAGCTCAGTACCCCGGGGCTGTTCCTGTCGGTGCTGGGGGGGACCATCGCAGAGCGGGGGGTCGACTGAAGGCACCCACAGGCACAGCCCACCCCCGGTCTGTGAGACCCCCGCTGCGTGCAGGACCCGGGAACCTGAGGGGGGAACGTCTTGAAGAACCCCATATCGCAGAAGCAGACCCAGAGGCTCAGAGATCGGGTGGGGGGGGGTCTCCCAGGGCACTGAGCCAGACAGGCCAGGCTCAGCCTTGCACCAATCACGATCATGATCACGATCATCCTGTTGTTCCTTGATTGCCTCGAGCAGGCACCAGTAAAGTCTCCTTTGTCCTAGCCCTGAGATTTTAAAAAGTGCCGTATTCAAGGCTCTTTCAGGGTTAGGAGAATGAGACCCATCATTGTTTCTGGTATTTGGCATATTGGGTACGCCACAGGGAGTTTGACAGACTCTGCCGCGTGGGCAGGCTACACTTGGTAGCCTGCCAGGTGGTCAAAGACCAGGTTTTGACAACCTGGCAGCCTTGCACCAGAGTCAGAAATCTTACCCCAGAACCCCCTCCACACCCCAGCCCTGCCTTCCATAGCAGCCCTGCTGGGTCCCCACAATGTGGGATAGCCCTGCCCGGTCCCCCTGTGCCCAACCGCGGTGTCTCCCTGCCCAGGGTCACCCAGCCTTGGTATATATAACCCTGCCCAGCATCTCCCAGTCACAGGATAGCCCTGCCTGGGGTCCCCGCACGCCCAGCCGCGGTATAGCCCTGTCCAGGGTCACCAAGCCACGGTATAGCCCTCCCGGGGTCCCCGCGTGCCCCCCCTTCCGGGGACTTGGCAACTTCCACTTCATGCCAGTGCCCGCCAGGACCCTTGGCTGCCTGCTGGGTTTCCCAACCAGCACACTCAGAGAAGCCAACTGCAGGGGCACCCAACAGCCTGCTTTGGCTCTGCGCCGGGTGGGTGCTCTGAGGTGGGGACCAGAACTTCCTTCCCTCCTGCACTCGGAAACTTCTAGGGCTAAAGGCTCCCCCAAACCTGCCCTTCGCTCTGAAGGGACCCTTGTCCCCAACCTCCCCCCGCCCCCAAATCCCACCCCTTTTGCCTTTTGGGTCACACCTGGCGATGCACAGGGGTTCCTCCTGGCTCTGCACTCAGGAGTTACTCCTGGCGGTGCTCTGGGGACCCTATGGGATGCTGGGAATCGAACCCGGGTCAGCCATGTGCAAGGCAAATGCCCTCCCCGCTGTGCTATGGCTCCAGCCCTCCCCCACCCCTTTCAACCCTCCCCTTCAACTCTGCTCCTCTCTGCTACTGTTCCTGCTCAACGGGGGCTGTCAACTGCAGAGCACAGGACAAGCAGGACATTAAGTCACATCCGTGCGCCAGACCCCCAGCACCATCACCAAGGCCACCTCCTCTGGGAAGCCTTCCCTGATCTCTCAGCATACAGAGGCTGGGACCCAACAACAAAGAGGTGGTGAGGGTGTGTGTGTGAAAGGGGCCTTGTCTGCATGTAGTCTTGCTCCACCCCACGGTGTTTATCGAAGACCAGGTATGACCTCGGATTAAGGCCAAAAGTTTTTGTCCCGGGAGAACTCTGGACTTTTAATAAGGCATCTGGGTGCAGATCAAAACCACAATGAGATACCATCTCACACCTCAGAGACTGGCCCACATTCAAAAGAACAAAAGCAACCGATGCTGGCGTGGATGTGGCGAGAAAGGGACACTCCTTCACTGTTGGTGGGAATGTCCACTGGTTCAGCCCTTCTGGACAACAGTATGGACGATTCTCAAAAAATTAGAAATTGAGCTCCCATTTGACCCAGCAATACCACTCCTGGGAATATATCCCAGAGAGGCAAAAATGTATAGTCGAAGTGACATCTGCACTTGTTTGTTCATTGCAGCACTCTTTACAATAGCCAGAAACTGGAAGAAACCTGAATGCCCAAGAACAGATGACTGGTTAAAGAAACTTTGGTACATCTACACAATGGAGTACTATGTAGCTCTTAGAAAAGATGAAGTCATGAAATTTACACACAAGTGGTACTACATGGAAAGTATCATGCTAAGCGAAATGAGTCAGAAAGAGAGGGATAGACATAGAAAGATTGCATTCATCTGGGGGATATAAAGGAACAAAGTATGAGATTAATACCCAAGAATAGCTGAGATCAGCACCAGGAGGATTACTCCATAACTTAGAGGCCAGCCGGGTATCCTAGAGGAAAGGGCAGTTCAGATAGAGAAGGGAGCACCAAATAAAGGATGTTTGGAGGATCCTCCCAGGAGGGGAGATGCATGTTGAAAGTAGACTATGGACTGAACATGTTTGCCACTCAATGCCTCTTTTGCAGACCACAACACCCAAAAGGAGAGAGAGAACACAGGGGATTGCCCTGCCACAGAGACAGGGGGGGATGGGGGGATGGGGGTGGGGGGATATTATCCATGGTGGTGGAAAATGGGCACTGGTGGAGGGATGGGTATCTGATCATTGTATAATCGAAACCCAAGCACAAAAAATTGTAAATCTACAACTGTAAAAAAAAAAAAAGAAACAAAAAAAAATGTGAACTCCATAGGAATGGAATCTGCATGACCTCATCACTTGATTTTAAAGCAATAAAAATAACACCTGGCTTGAAAAAAAAAAAGGCATCTGGGGCTGGAGCATTAGGACAGTGGAGAAAGACCTGGCCGTGCACAGGACTGGCCGGGGTACAGTCTCCGGCACCCCCCGTATGGGTCCCTGGAGTGACCCCTGAGCACAGAGCCAGGAGTGAGCCCTGAGCATCGCCGGGTGTGGCCCCAAAACCAAACCCAGCCCAACCCAAGTAAAAGAACATTCTTGGGGGGTGGGGCTGGAGCGATAGCACAGCAGGGAGGGCGTTTTCCTTGCACG